TGAGGGTGACCGTGAGGGTGAGGGTGAGGGTGAGGGTGAGGGTGAGGGTGAGGGTGAGGGTGAGGGTGAGGGTGAGGGTGAGGGTGAGGGTGAGGGTGAGGGTGAGGGTGAGGGTGAGGGTGAGGGTGAGGGTGAGGGTGAGGGTGAGGGTGAGGGGTGAGGGGTGAGGGGTGAGGGGTGAGGGGTGAGGGGTGAGGGGTGAGGGGTGAGGGGTGAGGGGTGAGGGGTGAGGGGTGAGGGGCGAGGGTGAGGGTGAGGGGTGAGGGGTGAGGGGTGAGGGGTGAGGGGTGGTGAGGGTGAGGGTGAGTCTAGCAGCGATGCAATCACCGTCTCGGGGTCCTCGCTCACCTTCTCGGTGTCCTGAGGGCGAGAGGAGGCGGCGAGAGGAAGCGGTGAGAGGAGGCGGCGAGAGGAGGCGGTGAGAGGAGGCGGTGAGAGGAGGCGCTGAGAGGAGGCGGGGAGAGGAGGCGGCGGGGAGGAGGCGGCGAGAGGAGGCGATGAGAGGAGGGGTGAGTGGAGGCGGCGAGAGGAGGCGGCGAGAGGAGGCGGTGAGAGGAGGCGGCGAGAGGAGGCAGCTCGCCATGCTGAACCGGGCGGCGGCCCGCCGCCGCTGTTGGTCGGCCGTGCGCTTCGCCTTGCGCTCCGTCGGCGTCATCTTGTTGGCCTTGCGCTTCTCTGCAGCAGCGTGCGAGGCGGCGAGCTGATGCCCAGGCGCCTCCGGCTGCGCCTGCCGGATGACGCCGGCGCGCCTACGCGAGTGCTGCGCCGGCGCCGCATCCTCGGCGGCGGACGACGTCGTGGACGGCGCCGGAGCGCGCTCCTTGCCGAGGGGCACCATGTCCATGTTGTACATGTGTGCTGGGTGGCGGCTTCACTCTGCTGAAACGGAAAACCGGCCGCGGGGAAATATAAGGTAAGATTAATAAAATAAAAGAATTCGCAGCCCGCTCGCTCCCACGCCCTCCGCTCGCTCCCACCGGAGCTTGCGATGAGCTTGCCACCGGAGTGCTCGCTCGAGGCGACCCCCCTTCCGGTGTGCTTCGCGCAGGCCCAGGCAGCATATCACTGGGTGGACGGCTCCAGTCTCGGCGGCGCGGACCCCGCCCTCCAGCAGCGCGTCGCGGATGGCCTTGCGTTTGCTGAGAAGGCTGCCGAGCTCGTGTCCTCCTTGTCCGTCTTCTCGGCGAACGAGGAGCTCGAGGACATCAACACCGGCGACCTAAAGTATCTGCTCCTGCCGTTCCTTCGAGCCGAGCTCATCCTCCGCATTCAGCCCGAGGAGGCTGCGGGCTGCCACGACGTGCGTCTGAAGCACCTGCGGCACGCAGCGGCCCTGCTCGAGGCATTCCTGCGCGATCTCGAGGCGCGGCGTGCGCTGCGCGCCGAGGCGCGGGCGGGGTGGGAGGAGGCGTGCGCGGACAAGCCACTCGATGCCGCCGCCTCGCGCACCCTCAAGGTCTCGCGTCTGCGCGCCGCAAGCCGCGCCAAGAAGGCACGCCACCTCCTCTTGGCCGGCGTGGGAGAGGAGAGAGAAGCGTCCCACCAACCGCCGTTGTTCGCGCGGAGGCGCTCGAGGCGCTCGAGGCGCGCGCGCGCGGTGCGGCAGCAGCCGCGAGTGCGGACCGCGACCACCGCCAAACAAGAAGCCGGGGCCTGAAGTTCCCCTGGAGCCCTAAAATCCCAAAGGGCCAAAGTCCGGGGAAAAAAAAGGGGAAAAATCCCCCCCGAATCCCTCCGGAAAAAATGTGGGGAAA